GCCGTCCGTGGAGAAAGTGAGGGATGCCGATGATTGCTGGAAGATGGCAACGGGTTGTCGATCTGACAGCCGCCAGAGACGGATGCTGTCAAATGCACCGGAAGCAACGAGTTCACTATTAGGATCAACGGCGAAAGCCATGCCAATGTGAGTGTGGCCCGTCGGCCAGGACGTCCGGGGATCACCGACCCGCTGCCAGGTCAATGTATCCCATTCCAGTATGGTATCTGCATTTCTAGTACTATGTAATGTCCAGCGTACTGCAAGAAGGCGCGAGCCATCGGGCGTCCACGCTATGTGCCTTATGTGACCCTCTCTGGAATTTGGCAACCGGAACTTTGTGATGGATTCCCTTGTGCTTGAATTATATATTTGGATCCCGCTTGATTCTGTTGCGGATGCGACGGCAAGAAGTTCTCCAAACGGTGAATACCGAACATGGTCGATGTCATGATCGAAGTAGATTGTTTTTAGGTGCGTCCAGGTTTTAGTGGACCACAGCTTCAACTTGTTGTCTCTTGAACCAGCTGTGGACAGCACTTTTCCATCAGGAGAAAAGTCCAGCGATGAGATCGGACCATTGTGGTTGCCCAGGCGGTACTCGACCAACTTTTCGAGGTTTCTAGCAAGTCGTTCACCTGTCTCTCCGTGCCAGATGGTGACCAATCCGTGCCGGTCACCGCTTGCTATCAATTGCCCATCTCGTGATATTGCCATTGCCGACACCGAAGCGTTATGCCATTGCTCCATCTCCTTCAACACAACACCTTTCTCCAAGTCCCATATACGAAGCGTGGGGTCGTACTGCGAGGCTGTGATCATTCGTCGGTTGTCAGGGAAAACTGCGACATTGTCTACGTGTCCAGGTCCTTCATGACCTTTAAACTCTTGCAGGGGTGTGATGCTTATATTCGGCTCCGACATCTTACTGGAGGCTGATGGTGTTGAGCGCGGTCGAGGTAGACTGGAGGGATCGTGGGTGTCCTTCTCTAAGCTGCAGAAATGTGCGTATTGTGTGTTTGATGCTGTGTCGCCGCATTTGCCTGCCTCATGTTTCCATAGACGCCCAAGACACGTGGTCCTACTGCAACCTCCAGCTGAAAATATCACATCAGGGTGAACGATATTTAAAAGAGGTTTATATGTTGTACAAAATGTGAAAACAATATTTGATATTTAAACTAACATAAAGATGGGTGCACGACTTCAAATTTTGGTGGTGTTTTGTGTGTCATCCAAAATATCAAATATTCACAACCATATTCCCACAGACAATATGTCAACAAATATAAGAAATATAATCGGATTTTCCATGTCTGCTTCAATTTAAAGTTTGATTCTTACATAAAACTTTGGAGAAAACTTGAAGTTTTGCCAAAGCTTGACATTTAAATCGAGTTTTAATGTCATGTCATCTGTAAAACTTCAAGTTTTCTCCAAAGTTTTACATGGAAATTGAACTTTAAGTTGAAGCAGACATGAAAAATCTGATTATATTTCTTATGTTTGTTGACATATTGTCTGTGGGAATATGGTTGTGAATATTTGATATTTTGGATTACACACAAAACACCACCAAAATTTGAAGTTGTGCACCCATCTTTATGTTAGTTTAAATATTAAATATTGTCTTCACATTTTGTACAACATATGAACCTCTTTTAAATATTGTTCACCCCGATGTGTATGCATTGTGCACAGGATGCAGCTTTTCTTGCTTTTCTACTATGAGGTGTTTCCACTTCTAAGGCGCATTTTATCCAGCACTTGTGAGACAACACCCTTGCTTCCAGCGCCGGTAGCAACGCAACACGGTCGTCAATTCTACTATCCGTCCACCACAGCCGGCGTTGCGCGCCCCATGCGTTCGATCTTAGCGACTTTGTCACTAGTACTGCAAGTATTCCGAAAAAGCTATTATTTACTATTAAATACATGTACTCAATCCAGGAAGCCAGGTGAGTCTCACAACTTTCAAGCGATCTTTTGCGGTACAACAACTCTATGTACTTACATGATGCTCTCACCTCAATTACAATCTAGGTGTCGCGCGATGGATCTCACGAATCAATTCATGTTCATGCACGAGTTCTTAACCGCCATCTCATCTCTATCGCGAGTGTCGATCAATTAATTTTATTTAGTTCGGATGAAGAACGATGGAGCCCACCAAAGCATCTCACCGCCGGTATACACGTCCATAACGCCCGTTGCTATCGTACTTGATGAGGGAGCTTGATCATCTTCAAAATATCAGACTAGTTTTGAACAGATCACTTTCTATTCCCGGAGGAAAGTGAGTAGCATATATGAATATATATTACAACGAAGACTCTGCCCAGACTTATGTCTCCCTGGAATCCACTGCGCAACACCGAATAACTAAATAAGCACAACGACAAAACTGGAACTGAATAAAAGACCAAATTCTCCTGCTCCTTAAAAGCACCAAGTAACCGTCAGCTTCCTAGAGCATCTTCCGTGCTACACACCACTGCCAGTCGATATATGCACGCGCTCCTGGAAAGCGATCGAGGTCATGTTGGTTGCTGCATCGGAGTCAGTCACGAGCTTAGCGGTATAGTCTCGAATGCCAAGGATCAGGCGTGGTCCCAGCACAAACATCTGCACGACTGTCAAAATTTGGAGTGTGCCATAATAGTAATCAAGTCCGAGGGTATTTGGGTTCTATAGAAATGATAAGACGCGGTTACATGCAGAGGTAAGACAAATCTGCATACCACTGAGATCGCTGGAGACAAAATCATGAGGTTGAAAGCAGAAACGGCGACAAAGCTAACATGTTCCTTCAGCGGGAAAAGGGAACCATATTCATATCTCGAGCTCACCTCAAGAAGTAAAATATGTGAGATTTTATCAATACCGTGAAACAATCCTTGATCACCCCTCCCGTCGAATGTTGTCGCAGCTCACGGAAGTGTTTTATAGCAATCCAGATTGCGAGAAATAGTACGAGGACCTCCCACGCACTGCCGAATATCCAAGTAATGGAATTCAGAAGGATAGTATTGTCCCCATAGGTAGTGGCGCACTCATGAGTGCCAGAGAGAATGTATTCCTCTGGTATACATCAGTGAGTCCCATGTACACCTTTGTTCATCCAAAATTGAGCGTACCTCCCGAAGTATGCCTCATTGACATTACGGAGACCACTACGTTGAAGATGGTATCAGCCAGGAAGATGACAACGAGAAATATTAGCATCTTTCTGGATTGTTGATACATGGCATGTAACCGAGTGATCACGATGACTTGTAACAAGATTCAGTGTCAATATCGCTGAGATTTTGCAACTGCAAAGCTCACTCCGCAGCATTGCAAATATCACAACATACATCCAATTCACTGCGATATACAGGATCCAGCCTGATGGATCCGGTTGATAATCAGGATCACACACTGCAAATAGACTCACATCTAGGGGGGATCACTATAATGAACCAAGAAGCTGGTCAAGAATCATGCTCACCTCTACAGGGCGCCGCAGTTAGTGGCAGGGGTGATAGTAACCACAAGTACAGAAGACTCACTGCGTCTGTCAACAAGATGGTCGGAACATTGACTGTATGCCGCAGGTCAGAAGAAACGAAGACATTTAATATCAGAAGACATACTCAATATGTTCAAGCTGATTGCGATACATAGTTCATTAGCACAACGACAGCGCCGAGCCTTTCAAACGCACACAGCAAATAATAATCCAAGATAGCGCACCTAAGATATTCTCAAGAGTAAGCAAGAGTCGCCAACCATAGTTATGATGCAAGCCACATACAGTCAGATACAGAATGGTCATCAGGGACCAACGTTGCCTCTGTCGTAAATCAATATTTGTTGCTCTTCTAAGTTCTGACGTTGCTGCTCACCCAGACCAGTTCGACCTATGAAAGCTTTCTTAGCGAGATGGGTGTTTCGGTGATAGCATCAACATACCTCTTGTCCAAATGTAAGTGCTGGAAATATTTGTAGGTTATCAGTACTTCTTCGATATTATCATGCTCACCCCAATCATACGTTACTCCAACAGAGGCGGCCACTACGAAGCAGCAGTCACGGTTAGATCGAGACATCAGTGTTAACATCCGACTGCTACGAACCTACAAAATAGCTAGAAATGCGCCACGAAGCGATCCACAGCCACCAACCAGGGTCGTCTGAGACTACAGTCATTTTGTTAGAGGATAGATCTGAGGGTGCAGCGGACCTGGTGGACGTATGTTGATGAGATTTGTGCTAGATATCGTACCACCATCTAGCGCTTGGATCCCAAACAGAGGGATGATTGAACACAGCAAAAGATGGAGAACCGCCATTTTGCTGCACGTGCATCAGTGCATCAATCCAATACTGCCGATCTGTGATGAGGGCTGTAATCTTGGGCTTCCTGTGCCCGGAAAGCATGACAGATCTTCCCAGGTACTATCAAAACCTGAAATAGGGGAGATCTTCGTGGAGTAAACAGAAAACTCACGTCCTGCCCCAGGTGCGAGCACATATCTCAATATTAAATATTAATGTTTGATGTCCCTGTTCCTCGTCCTCAGGCAGTTTGTCGTTTCATGTACATGCACCTTCTCGCACTTTGCTTCGAATATAGAACTATAATATCGTAACGTAAGGATGAGCATCATGATAGAAATTTTAATTGACTCGGAAGCGGTGCCAGTGACAGGCATCAGAAGTTTGCACAGCCAGAGATCTAGACCGAAACCCCACCGTGCGCGTGATTGCCAATGTATCGAAATCTTGGAGAAAACATGTCACCATCGTACGTGCGCATGTGGTGCATCGTTGAGTCTGACACCAGACCAGTTGACCATCAGACAAATCCAAAGCTGGACTATCGCGCTGGCTAACGACCAAGATCTGAGAATGCGGTTGCACAAAGGCTGTGGATCAGATCTCAGACGGCGAATGGATATAAATCGGTTATAGTGGTCGTTGTGATATGATATGAAGCCAGTGTAAGACTTTATCGATTTCAATCAACGACCTCCTAATACATACTAGGTCAGTAAAGAGCCTAGATCGACGAGTACACAACGATCGAGGATATAGTACGCACCAAAGCACCCGGATCTAAGTTGTGGCCGAAAAGAGTACAACAAGCACTGCTGCCAGCAACGGATTCAAGTAATACAAATTGTACATGTGCGCAACGCGTATACCAATGCCACTGCCAATTGCTACATAGATTAGTACCCCGAGTCGCGCGCGAATTCACCCAGGTTAAGATAAAAAGCATAATAACCCCAGCTCATAGATGCGCATGAAGATGGTGTGGTATTACATTTTGATTCCGGTCTCCATGCCTGAGCCCATGTCTGGAGATGCGCCGAATGTACAAGAGCCTTCTCCACCCTTACCGTGGATACAGCGCTCGTCTCTGCACTGTAGGTCTGTAATGTAGAGGTTCAGCAGTGCGAAACACGTAGAACAAGAGTGAAAAGACTAACAGTCAAAATAACAAACCCTCGCTCGCATTTTGGTTCTGCACTCTCAATCACATTTCTGCAGTCCTTACTCCCAGTCCTTCTCCTTTCCTTCCCTCAGCCTCTCGTACTTCTTATCCTATCTCCCGCCCCCAACTCGAGCCCACTTGACCACCTTCCTTCTGCTTCACGCATAACAGCCGTATATTCGTAAGCACCAGCTGTCGCGTCTTCATCTTCGTGAGACTTGTGCTGATCGGGGGACCTAGTTTACTACCATGATGCTTCGGTGACTGAACCTTAATGCGTGGATAGACACATTCGGATGGTAAGAGAAGGCTCGGCCTATGTTGGCAAAGGGTAAGGAAAGAAATCATTGATTAGAATCGTCTTGATAATTCGAGTATATCAACGACGCACCAATCTGCACTCGGACATGACCGGTGACCCATTACCCTACACTAGAGTCTGCGCGCGATAGCGTCCACACGATAAGCTTGGTTCCAGCTTTTTCTCGGTATCTAAGTCAATTCTCATCTTAACGTCAAAATCTGCTGCCACCGGATCGATGACGGGGCTCCCATCAGAAGAGCTGGAGCCTGTGCCTGTAAAGCAGGTGGTAGTGTGAAGCACTGGTCACTAGCTGCCAAAGAGGAATAGCTGGCCAATTAGCGGGATTGGATGCGCACACACAACACATAGAGAAGGTGATACTCACATAGGCTCCACTCGTTCTGAAAGGTTCAGTGTAAGCGTATGGTACCGGAGTGACGAACACCCAGTTTGACGAGGATGTCCTTCTCTGCGAGGGTAACGAGCATTTTGTTCTTTCGAATGAGATGATTCTTGTCAAGGATCTTGATAGCGTATTCCTGATCAATTCGGATATATTGTGCACGCATCACTTGAAGTGACATAAGTATGGGGTGTGGGTTATACGCGATGTACACACCGTCGAGTAAGATTATTCTCCAAGGATGTCTCCAAGAGAAAGGAGGTCGAGAGGGAGTAGCACTTCTGGACTGGGCGTTGGGGACCTGAGCGCGTGCTGGTATTAGGCGGGAAGACTTTTGTGATTGATGAGAGTTGGGGGAAGTTGGTGGGATCACTTGCACTATCCAGAAGTACCTTCCTTCTATTGAAAACAAACCATCCTATCAGCGGAACCTTGATTATGTCATCCACTATTATATCCCCGGACCCTGTAAGTACTAAATCGTAACGGCGCCTGTGCGCCAATCCCCGACTCCGAATGGACAGTATCACATAGAAGACATATATTCTCACGAATATTAGAGTACAAATTTCAAGCAAGAATATCAAGAAAAGGTACAATTCGTGGACTGATTATACAAGTGTCGAGCGCAGAACACCCAGTCATGGAGTCTATTCTTCCATGTACTCAAGCTCGTCTCCAACTCCAGCAGAGAAGGACCCTTTTTTGGCCGGCGACTGACCCATTGCCTCTGATGCCTCATCGGTAGCCTTCCTTTTACCATCTTTGATCGAGTTGATGAAGGCAGCCTGCATGTACTTCTCACATGGCAGCAGCTGCATATGCTGTAGCATCATCTGATAAACGTGGGAGCCGTTTGCATCGCGAGGGTTGGAAGCATTGTTGCTACAGGGTTTAATGGTCCAGCTGCAAAATATTATAATGATGGAAACCAAAAAATGAATCAGGACTTACAGCTTCAGAATGACCTCCAACTCCACAATTGCGCCCTCCATAAGCTTTGTCTTATATTCACTGACATGAATTTGGACGCCGTGCTCGTCATGGACGTCAGGAGACTGAACCCTTGTGCCACGCAGATCATAAGTGTTCAATAAAGCAGAGTAACGGCCCTTGGAATCCTCAAGGTCACAAATGCGCCACCAGCGATCTAGCATGTGTGCAATCAGATGATGTCATGGTCCCTCGAGACATGAGACTTAGAATGTACTTCCGGACTTCTTCCCTTTGTTTTCGCCAAGGACTTGAGTGTATTTTTTGGCAGATGCCCTGACTTTACCTATGGCCCCGAGAGCGGATTAGAATATGGTCAAATCAGCTAAGGAAAAGACTCACTCGGACTCATCAATCCTGGACAATCTGGTTTGAAATTGTCAAGAAAGTACATCAGCAGGGTGAAATACTATGACAATTTCGTTAAAACGCACCAGCGGCCTCTGCTCGAGACAAGCGGGGAGCCGTTGCAGTTTTCATATCGGGGACATCGCGAAAGATGGCTCCAGCCGTAACAACTAGGCTGTACTTGTCGTCTTCCTTATACGTGCACCAAAAAGGCACGTTGGAAGGAACTGCACTAGCATCTTTGCATGCTGTATCCGTAAATATACATAAATGCAGGTAGTAGATGTAAATGGCTCACATGCATTTCGGGCTTCCTCCACCTCAGAATGGAGAGTGAAAAGAAGTTTCATCGCAAACTGGGAGCACCCAACTGCTGACGCTGGACAGTCCTTCTCTTTATCATCAAGAGGGAGCACCTCGAACTGGATCTTCGCGTTCTTAATGTCTCCAAGGTCGAGCTGTACGACAAGTCACTTGTCAGAAAGTTCATATCAGTAGCTGATCACAGAACTCACACCTGTGTCCGGAAGGTTGAAGTATTCGCCAGATTTGTTATAGCGCCCCTCGAGGTGCAATTTTGCTGGAAATGTCAAGCGGAGCACGTTGTCGTCAGCACCGACCCAGTAGTCAGTGTTATCGTTGAAAACTGAACGAAGTGGGCGAGGGTTATTGTTCATGGGGATGCTCAACAATAATTCAGCATCCGCAGCCGTGGGAGACTTCAAAGAGCTGATAAGTGACCTGTACAGCGGGGGCAACGACGTGAACAATTCATGATCAGGCGCATTTGGAACAGGCGTGTTTGTGCGAGATGGCACAGGTGTAGAAAAAAGGCTCGATGGCAAACGAGCATTGATAGAATCAGGAGATGGTACAGGCGACGAGGGCAGAGACATTGTGAACGAGACAGTTGGTGAATGGTAAAGCGAGAGACTGGATGGGTGGATAGAGGTTGGAGTCGTATTGCTCGTGGTTTTTATATGGCGTTTGGTATAACCTAAAAAAATTAAAATCAAAATGGCGATGAAAACAATGAAATTGAACAAATAAAATACTGAACCTCTGCAAGAAGCAACTTGAGCGACTGTAGAAGCATCAGGTCCACAGATGACCTAAGTCTGAAATTGATCAGCATTTTGAAGGCTGTAAACGTAGACGTGAGCCTCGCGACCATTCAAGCAAGAAAGATCAAGTCCGTCAATCTCAGATACCATCGCTTCAAAAAGAGGGACTCCGTCGTTGTTTCTACCATCATAAGTCCAAACATTAAGCCCATCAAAAATTCGACACGAGAAATGATAACTACCCAGATACACAATACCACAGAGAGCATACCGTGCTTGTCTGTTCATTGAAGGTATGGTTAGTTCAAGACTCGGTTCAACCAATAGACTACTAGATACCTCAAAATAGATGACACAGTGAGCTGCAAGCAACTGAATTTTCCATGACACGATCACATCGCACAACGCGCTTCTGCAAGTAGATGATCGAACAGCACCCTTCAGTTTCTTTGCTTCGGCCTGAATCCAGAGATCAAGCCAGTGCTGCAGAGAGACAATTGTATCCTGTTCAATCACACCCCGTAATGGAGAGCAGATTGCTGGAAGATCAAAATTCAGATCCGCCGAGATCGAGTGTGTCAGTTCTGTGCAATTCGTGTCTGTACAGGAAGCAATCACACCGAGTGTCCCTTGATACGATGGTAAAATATACTCAAGAACCGCTACAACAGAAGCACCAACCATCCCAGTACGAGGGAAACGAGATGGGTTTAGCGCAGACAGGTCGTCTCGCAATTTATCATGGAATTGGTCAAAAAGTTCTTGCAAAAAAAACGGGAACATCACATTGCAGAGAATCAAAAGATTGGGAAAGCGACGCACCAATACCATTGGCATCCTGACACCATGAATCCCTCCATAGAAGACATCCTTGTCGATAAGCATGAAAGAGAATCATAAACACGCAGTCACACGAACAAGACCAATTTGCTTGCGACCAGCGGCATCCAGAACTCAGAAGTAGCGAACCATTCTGAGGCAACCACAGGTCACAAGGACGGCTAACTTTGACACGTTTATACAGATTGCGAGGGTCAATGGAATACTTAGGGTCAACCAGCCGTTCATCGACCTTCTCGGACATGGACCGTTTTTGTTTATTTTTTGCGTTCACTTGACTTGGAGGATCATCAGCGTCGAATCTTGCAAGAAGCTTCGTGTGATTCACCGTTCGATTAGCCTCTGCATCAGGAACATCCATGACAGCGCCTTGATGGAGACCATGTTGGATGTACGTATTATGTTCAATTACGTCGAATCTCCGGACTTCCTGCAATAGTTCTGGAGGAAGAGGTTTGTTCAATTGTTCAATTGACACCGGGTGAGATATACACAACCCCTCACGAGTCTGTGCACGCGATGCGGCCACGTATGCGGCAAATCCGCCCTCATGTAAATTTACCAGGACTTTAGGAAGAGTTTTGCCCTGTGCTGAATGCCCGGTTACAGCGAATGCAGGTTGAATAGGCAGTTGATGGTGTGTCACTTGCAGCTTTTCTTCCTTTCCATTCGAGTTCTTGAACAAAGTCGTGAATGTCCAACTGACCGGGATAATTGGAAAGCACCCTAAAGGAAGGTCATTGAGTTTCACTTTGGACGAAGGAAAGTGAACAATTACACAGGTAGCATACATCAGATCGACGGGGCAGTATGCAGTGTAAATTGCGTGCACAGAACCTTGAGACCCATTGGTAATACCCAGATCAGTTGACAAATTTCGTTGCCGCAAGATGACAGGCATACCAACATAAAGAGATAAGTAACCAGGCAATGACCGAGTTGAACGGAGGGCAACAACATTGAGCCGAAGAAGTTGATGACGCTCATTGATGTCCAAAGTCTTGTGAGAACATTTATCCAAAGCGTAACATGTGACAAGTGAACATCCACCACAAGCTGTCTCTGCCTTCTTCGTATTGATTGCTTCGCGTAATGCATTTGTACCAACAATCACAGCTGCATCAAGGTTACTGTCAATCCCCATATCGATGCCGTCAGGATAAGAAGCAGACATTATTACTCGTGAATTGAAGAGTTTGACATCGTCGTAATTGCACTGCCGCTCTCGGAGCCAACAAACTGCATCGCCATACTGCACATCCCCCTTCATACGTTGCTGTTCTGTGAGACTAACAACCACATTGATCGATTTCCAAGCTAATCGCCCCAGTCTCTTCCGTATCTCTTCATCGCTCTGTCCGCTGTATGTGGAAATGGGTACATACAAAGCACTCCCGCCCACTGGGGGATACTGGAAAAAATCTCCTGCAAAAATCACGGCAACACCGCCAAACCACAGGTCAGGTTTTTCCTTGGCGAAACGCAGTGCATGATCAATTTCAGCTAGAAGCTGAAGGCTAACAAGTGACACCTCATCAATGAGGAGGAATTCAACACTTTTCCACTCCTCATGAAGCTGGACGCGACTACTGACACTTATGACAACCGTGTAATCCTGAGTACTCTCACCAGGTTTGCGATTCCCCTTTCCCTTGTTGTTGGACTTGATTGTAATACCCAGACCTTTGTGCACAGTCATACCATCAATGAGAGCAGCAGCAGATCCAGTAGGAGCAAGAAATCGGATCATGTGGCCGCAGCCATAATACTGCATAACTGCGCGAACAGCCTTCACTACATGTGTCTTCCCAGTGCCACCAGGACCCATCATTAGCATTGTGAGGCAATCAGCATCATCACTACATCCGTCCACGTGTCTCTTTACGAAAAAATTTGCAATAATATGGAAAGCTATCCATTGCTGCTGGTTGAGGCTATTTTCAGATCCGATTTTTTCGATCACTTCGTCAGACAATAGCGTAGGCGTTGTGACACTGTCAGATGCAGGAGTCTCAGTATCACGACATGAAACTAGCGCGGTCTCAACAGACTGAAATGCATTCTGCCCATATTCAGTCACGGCCTTAGACGACTGCCCATTCTGTTCATTTGGGTTCAGAATATTGCGATGGGATTCTGCAATGGTTGTCTCTTGCTTTACCATCAAGTTTTCGTCTTGAAACTTAAGGTGTTTATTTAACTTTTCTTTATCTTAATGATTGTCCTATCTATTTTAATACAAATTCCTTGCCATATGATCTCATCCTATTGATTTTAACCATATCTAACTAGATAAACCTCTTTCGGCTATCAGCAGTCTAATATTTGTACTTGAAAGTAGCATCCTGTCTTTTCTTTTTATAGGTTGGAGACAGAAGAATCTGTTTTTCTTGATTATAGCTTTAAGATGGGCTGTCTTGAGAGTCTGTCTGACTATTTGAGTAGAGATAGTCATAGGAATGATGGAAATAATCAATTTAGTCACTTTATTAACATCAGCAGCCTTTTAAATTAGAATATAGTGATTAAGAGATCTTAAGTCTTATAGAGCAACCTTCTAGATTGGCTACCAAATAACTTAAAGACCATAATATTACTATTCTATCATGTTCAACATAGACCCAAGACATCAACCCTATTGAATACCTCTGAGAATCACTCAAGAAATTACTTATAGCATATCAAGATTCACCATAGGGGTTATTCCAACTATGAGACAGTGTTACAGCAGAGTATGATGGAATCACCAAAGAGGAATACCCAAAATTGATAGACAATATGTCTAGAAGAGTGGCAGAAGTGATTGGGGCAGAAGGAGGTCACACACAGTACTAGAATTATAGAGATTACATTAGTTAAACTCAAAGTCAAAAAAGTGTCCCAATGAGTCATCAAATTAAAATACTCATATCTTCACATAATGTCATTATTTTCCCACGGTATAGGGAACCGAAATGAAGCTGAGAAGCAGACCTTTCCGACATCTTCCTATAGCTTAGTCATATTTCCACGTCTTGACTCATGATATAGCAATTACGTGAAAAGCTACAAACATTGGGACACTTTTTTGAGCCACTGTATATTCAGCTCTGGAATTGTGCCATTGAGGGACAGGGCTGGATCCTGTGAAATGGAAGCAATATGAGATGGTGCTTCAAGCCACCGCGCCTGTTTAAGCAGCAAAAGAAATAGATCATTACGAAAGTCCTCCTGAGCACAGGAATTTAAAGGTTTGTCGGTGCAAATGATATCTGTCTCGTCATCCAATGACATGGCATTAGAACCACCATTTGACATGGCCTTACTGTCAGCAGTCAGTTGAGACTGTTTTCGCAAGCAGTCAGCATCTCGTTGATCTTCACATTCATGCACAGCCTCCCAATTGCTCATCACATCCTTCGCCCGATCCGAAAACTGATATGCTTTGAATACATCTTCTATATTGTCGTCAGCGGACAGAAGCGGGGATGTGATACTGAAAGGTCGAAAGTGAGCCAACGCAAACCACACCCAAGCCTTTATGTTGTTTGGACGGGGAATAGACATACCTACAACTCTTGGCACATATTCAATGTTACCATCACCATGCTCATCATTGGTGTGCTCAACCAGTTCATGCGTGTCCGACAAGGGGTGACCATCCTTTAATCTGTGCCTTTTCAAAACCCCAAGACGAGTACTCTTTAGACGCTGGCTCTTCGCTTTGGTTTCAATTCGAATACATCGAGTGAAATCATAGAATGTCATATCAGCTAGTGTATTGTCTCGATAAACATAATGATGTACCTGATTGGTCTCTGCAATATTACCGTTATGATCAGTAGTAATCCATATCTGCGATTGTTCGATCTGGTCATCATCACTGTCCTCATTATTGTCAACCGTCGAAGGACCATCTTGAACTTTGGCACATTTTTTGACATGGGCCAACAGCAATGAAGACATCATAGGAACTGAACGATGAGAAGGAATGCCATCACCAAACCCACGAATGTAACACGCAGCTTGTTGAGCATGAATCTGTTGCTGTCCACCAAACTGACTCAAACATTTATGAAGCAATGTTTTAGCACTATCCAGAACATTTTTCTTACCAACATCATCGGGTAGACAGGCAACAACTCTTGACAGAAGAGAGAGCATCTCATAAGTCTTGACATCCATCTTCGTAATGTAGTCTGAGATGTAAAACATTGCAGCCTTTGCTCCCTTTCCGGACAGTATGCACTTTAAATCATGGTTATGTCTGCAAAAAACAAGGAGGTACGGATTGAAGTAGTTCACCGTTGCATCACGACACACAAAGACAATTGCGTTGTTCTCAGGATCAAAATGCGAGGCTTCAACGATCTCATGAGGGAAAAGGAACCTGCATTGATTGTCATTTCCATATTTATGACACACGGCTCGACACCAATGACGCTGCAAGACCTCACCACATTTCTTAATCTCCGTTACAAACACGTCGGTACCCCATTCGTCAAGTATATCACTTGCTGTCTTTGTGTCGCCACTCAACGCGGGGGGCAGCATAGGGGGACGTTCTACACGAGGATTGTACTTCGATTCCATGATCACCTCAACGTCGGGTAGGTGATGGTGAATAATACCATTGAAAAAATTGAAAAACTTCTTTTGATATGTCTCATCCTGCAATCGGCGGTGGATATCCGAAGGGTTCACTCCACCAGCAAGCCAGATGAGAAAATGACCATGTAAGCTTCCACGTTCTGTATACTCAGATGAACCATAAAATGCACGCACCCGTCCAAGGAGACCACCACTAGGCGAAGAAGAATGCATCCGAAAATTCCAGCCAAGAAGATATTCAAAACAACACTCGAATGAGAATTCATAGAAATCTGCTGCCGCTACAGGGTCATGAGCAAGACGAATTGCACGTTCACATCCAGAAACAAGCTGAGGGAATCTTTGGGACAAGTCAACAGTACTGTCACCATACATCACCTGAAAGATTGGACTATGAGCAGGGCTCGGGTTAAATGTGAAAAACAGATGAGGCAAACCAAAGTAGCTGAAATAACTACGAATCTCATTATGGACATATATCTTTGAGGCTTGAGAGCCTGGGATGCGAGCCGCGATTGTGTTTACATGCTTCAAAAGATTGAGTGCATTTTTTTCAGCAGGTGCGAGATCAGAGAACTTATGCTCACGCTCGAGCTTTGTCGCAAGACTGTCCAGAATTGTGGGTGAGATCTGAGTGAGGTTCTGAGCTACATGATGGAAGTGTGAACGACGAACCGTAAAGGATGTTTGGAGATGTGCTGTGTGACGTTGTATCATGTTCAACACAACAAACATAAAGGAGTGATGGTAACAAAAAGATCGATCGACAATATTCAAATAATACTGAGCTTGCTGCTGGAACGAAATGCTCACAGGCCAAGATTTATCTTCGAAACCTCCAATTCCAAACGGAAAAAGAGTAGGATACATGCCTGGTATGAGATCAGGATTATTGTATTCATTAACTGGCTCAAGTCCTCGATGCACAACAAGGTCAGGCAACACACTATTCTCCGAAAATAAGTTTTTGATAGCAGCAGCGACAAATGTTCGTCCACTAATATTGTCACACTCTGGATCGGATACACCTGTCTTCTTGAGCATAGTTATAACAGACCCATCATCATTTTCGTGAAGACCATCTGCCAAAAGCTCTGCAGGATGCTCTTGAAATCCAGCTGTTCCTCTTCAAACACCCTTTTGACATTAAGCTCGTGGTTCTCGATCACGCGTTCAGACAAGCCAGGAATGACGTCGTCAGTAGGATAAAGCTCAAGAATTTCTCGTTCTATACATATATCAGAATACAAACGATTGTGATGCTTCAACCACACAAGGAATACCCAGATTTTATTCTTACGCACGCGGAACATAGGACCTAACTGATCAGGCTTGAATCTCCCAGGTCCAACGAAGACAATACTGAGAAGTCCATTGATATCAGCAGGAGTTCGAGGCAATACAGATGCCATAGACACGACATTCATTTCATGCGCACATACATTGCCATGAAATACCCGTGGTTGCGCCGGATCTGACGACTGAAACAATCGTGCTACATGGGCAGTTGTACTGTATATTGCACAAATCTTCTCCTCAACCCAGGTGAGGTCTCGAAAATATTCTGGAAGTTCGCCATGGTAGAGGCCATTCGCAAGTGCCAGTCGAGGCACCTTTTTCTTCGACAATGCCGCAAAACATTCAGCACACGTTCATCGTGGTAAACTGAGAAGAGTTGTCGATGATCCCTGCTTTATCGAGCATCAGACCATTAAGAGCATTATTTTCAAAGGTAAATGATGCAGATACGCACTGTACAATACACCATCTGATTATAAAGGGGTCGGTCAATCAGAGGACTTCTACAGATATCGACAAAGGTACATCAGCATCAGCTGAAATGACAACCACTTTTGAACCACACAGCCTTTGAGAGCAGATCACACAAACAGGGGGCTCAATCCACTTTGAAGCGTCATAATAGCGATGTAAGCAATCCAACACAACATCCTTCGAGACTGCAACTGGCCATTCGCGCCGACGGAGAACATCAATGTTGCGTTTATTGAGTACCGCCTGCATTTTCTGATCTTTTCTGACCATTTTCATGCGCTCGCGAGTGGAAACTTGAGTGACCTGATGAGCGAGATGTTCTATCACCACAGCTCCATACTCTATGGATAGTATCTGTGCAATGTAATGTTCATCAGGCCGGTCCAAAGGCAGAGTGAAAGGGAAGTAACAAAGCAGGACATCACACACCGTACTCGGGCCAATACATTGCAGAAAGAGGGCACAATCTCGGATATGACAGGCAAGACCATTACTCATTTTTGGACATGATTGACTGCTAATGGCAGGATGCCCTCTCACAGGCAGACCACGAATACATTCTGAAAGCACATCAACAGCAAGTTTACTAAGTCTGTGAACTAGATCTTGAAGCGGAAGTACGGACCAGCTGATTTTGGGCACCTTAATGGATCCAGCGGCATAAATTTGTGGCGGCGGCCGACAGAGTGCACGGAAAACCTCATCCCCATATAAACTGCTGAAATATGTTGCCAGCAGAGGCAAGAGTGGCGAAGTACATTGTGCGTGTACAGTGGCACTCGAGAGTATCGCTCGCAGCTGGTCTTCGTCCAATCGGAGTAATGTCGTCCTAGTATATGTAAAATGCAATAGCACCGCATGCAAGCAACTTTTTTTTGATCGCTCCCTGGGTAAAGAGAGCTGGCATACACAGTCAAGAAGAACTTTATCAAAAAGAGACGACAAATTCACCTCTACAACACTGTCACTGTAGTACATCCATCTAGGAAAGTTGTGTATTCTAGAGTTCAAGCAAGCATCATCCGTCAGTGAGTCACATGAAGCAAGCTTGTGAAAGACTACACAATGGCGGTAACCAGCCTCTGCAAATTCACTCAGAGACATCGATAATGTAACATCTCGCCAACTCACAGTAATACAAACACCGTCATATGAGATGCATCCATCAAAGCTGGATGAGTCACAAGTCAGACAAGACGACAAGTGTGAGGCGAGAGAGGCTTTAAGCCACATGCAAAAATTTTCGGGTGTTTCATAATATACGAGATGGTATTCAGGATAATAGAGTGCATCATAATAATTTGGATAGTCTCGAATGGCATGGAGCTCGTCATCAGGAGGGCAGTGGCTTTCCTTCAAGACGCGAGCTGAACAACAAGGCAACTTTTGAATGAAAACCCTGAAGGACAACCAAAATTAATCAAAAAATCAGGGAGATGGAAAAATATACACTTACATGTGGTATGGTCCCGCAGACAAAGCAAAGGAATAATGAGAGATATTGAGATACTATACTGACAGCGACAGAATACTGAGAGCGACAACAAGTTTGGGTGATCAACAAAGGATTCAATACTTATGTCGAGCGTTTTACACCGTTTTACCATCATGTGAAATGAGTCTGGATAATGGTATTGGGTTATTAGTGCAGCAGGCAAGTAGGACAATAAACAGACCTGTTCAGAAGGTGTACCCCGCCTAGAAATGGCCTAGTACAAGAAACGAAGTCAGTACACATAGTAGGTAGTAGGAACCAATATGATAAAAGTTAAAAGCTGTCAGGCTTAAGTGCTCAGAGTCACCTCCTAGAGGCGTGTCCTCGCAGCCTGACAGCCTCTGGTCCAAGTCACCTCCTAGAGGTGTGTCGGACCAGGAAGTGAAGTGCAAATAAAAATAAATAAAAAACTCACCGGAGTTATTGCGCTCGCTCAGACGGATGGCCCAAGGTTTAGGGTGATGAGTGGGGTTGTTGATGCGATGGGAGAAGCGCCTGGTTGACGAGAGGAGTGAGAACTGGTGCCAACGGCGACCATGCACAACTGGGTATCTTCGTGTGCTTTGAGGGCGGGATACAGGAATGGCAGGAAGGCTTGAATAATGAGAGTAAAAAATATATGTCAGCGAGGTCACAAACCAACTTTTTTCCCACTGACTAAGCGACATCAAATTCACATACCCATGGGTGCGTTTTCAGGGCTTTGAACGTTCGTGTCCGAGAGAACCCTCTCCACTAATGTGGAGTCGGGGATAACTTAGAGCCCGTTCAGCAACCGATGTTTGAATGAAAAATTTGGGAAATCAAACATTACCAGTCGGCACACACTACCGAAATTCAAGCTCAGTCTGAATAGTGAGTGAGCGGCCGATAATGTTGATAATGTTGATAACATTTACGACAATAATCTGAATAGCTATGGATGTAGATGAGCCTGCTCATAACCGCTTTAACATACGACCACTCACAGTCCCACTCGTTCGACCAATAGTGCAACAAAATCATCCCCCCCCGGCCTCACTGTGCTGTGCTTCGGCATTGTATCATTCGCTATGTCGCGCTCATCCTCAGTCTCCTGCTGGCCGCTGTAGAAACAACAATACTGAGAGGAACAAATGAAGCTCCTGACTGTATCTAAAAAATGTTGTAAGGTCGCACGCTGCCTAGTCTGCGTTACCTGAGGAGACAAGTGCGTTCGACCCTAAAGGGGAAGTGAGTGCAGCAAAGATCTAGAGGTATGCGCTGAAGCGCAGGTGCGCGCAAGGCATGGGAACAGGCGCGCATATTAGCGCGAAGCGCGGGAAAGCGCGCACGCGTATGCGGAAATGATAGAGACTAAGCTTAAGTGATGATATAATGCAAGATAAGAGATGTGAGTGCGAGATGTAAGGGAATAGAGATCTACTATGTTCTGCTAAGTAGTAAGTAAGTAGTAATAGGTAAATGGGAGGTAAAGTAAGGTAAGGTGAAAAGTAAGTAATAGTATGTACTGCTGGCGCTTATATAGTGTGCCTAAGCGCGGTCATGCAGAGCCGAAGTGCTACCGAGTAGGTATGTAAAGATATATATAAGTAAGGGTCCATTATAAAAATAGAGGTGGAATGATATGCTAATAAAAGAAATGAACATATAAGCACTAGAGGGTTTGGTGGACAGTGGATGGATGCTTCTGGATGGCTGGCGCTATAGGGCGCTCAAGCGCGGGAATGGTGTGCATTGTGCGGGAAAGTTGCGCCTTGTATAGGGATAGCTGCGGGTAGCGCACGGAGTGACACTACAAGTTCGTGCTATGTACTCCTTGGTGGGAACTGCCATATCACGCCATGAGAGGCATGAGTCTCTACACCGCAGTGCATGTCTTCATGCAGGACACTGATGAACCTGAGCCCTATCACACCTCAGCCCTCACAGGGCAAGAGTGGGTGATAGAACTCATCCTCGGCCATCCCGATCGCATTCGTTGTGAGCTCGGGGTCAATGTTGAGGTCTTCGAGAAATTGATAGAGGACCTTCGTGCCCTTGGTCACCGTGATTCACGTTACGTCTCACTTGAAGAACAGCTATCGATATTTCTCTATACGTGTGTGACAGGATTAACTGTCAGACACGTCGCAGAACGATTCCAGTGTTCAAACACTACCATCTCTAAGTTCGTATTTTGATCTAGATCTCACACTCACGCTGGTACTGACACTCTCATAGGTATTTTTGCAAGATGCTAGACATCTTTGCATCCCACCCTTTCTACACCGAATATGTCCACCTCCCCGCTCCTGATGCACCAGTCTCGAGTGCCATTCGTGACAACCCAAAATGTTGGCTGTACTTTCACGATGCTATTGGCGCAGTCGATGGGAGTCATATTCACGTGTTTCCTCCCTCAGCCAGTTGCCACCTATACTACAACCGCAAAGGTTTCGTATCGCAGAACTGCCTCTTCGCTTGCAACTTTGATCTTCAGTTCACCTTTGTGCTAACCGGATGGGAGGGGTCAGCAACAGATGCTCGGCTTTGGGATGTAGCGCGCCATGATGGCTTGGACGTTCCGCCTGGAAAGTACCTTCTTGCAGACCTTGGTTTCCCCTCGTCCCGACAACTTTTAGTTCTGTACCGTGGTGTACGGTACCATCTAGCAGAGTGGGGTCGTGCTAGCATCAGGTAAGTACTTTTCTCTGCAGTGTATCTCAACTAACAATACTCATTTTAGACCGGTTAACAAGGAAGAACTGTTCAACCTTCGTCATGTGTCTGCTCGCAACGTTATTGAACATATTTTTGGCATCATGAAGTGGCACTTTCACATTCTGTTAGTATCGCCAGAGTACAAGATAGCCATCCAGGCTCGCATTCCCGCGGCACTGTGCGCTCTGCACAATTATATATGTATTCACAACCCGGACGAAGAGCCGCTCCCTCACAGGGCTGTATTTAACGACAACCCTACCCATCAGGGCCAACCTGCTCAAGGTGGTCCTGATGTTACTGATCCAATGGTTGAGGATGATGTTGTTGACAATGTAAGTGCGAATGTCTTTTGTGATCGCATGGCCGCAGAGATGTGGGAGGACTACCAGAATATCTTACATGAGCGCAATTTAGTAGACATCGCTCACTCATTAGACATCGACGAGGATCCAGAGGACATTGAGGACATTGACCAATATTATGGGAGCGAGGATGACAATGAAAGTGATGCTTAGAAATATGTTACATTGTAGTGTACATAGAGCTACAAATGATAACGTGCGGTTTATCTAATGTGGTGTGAACAAATGAAAGGATACAGCAACACATATGGCAATGAGTGAGACAAAAAGTAAAACATGATGACAATGACAATGTTTAAAACACACCAAATTCCCCCCTGGCAGCCTGGTCAAGAACAGATCGCAAGTAGGGGACCCGTCTTTCAGGCTTGGCAGCCAAGTAGATGGCACATACTGCTGGGCTCCTTGCGAACACATTCATGAGCATGACGGACTCATCTTCTGTAATCAGCTCCTCCTCCTGCATGGTGAGCACAGCCTGTAGCCTTTCATCCAACACCCGAGTTTCATTTTGGTCGGTGTTGGATGCTGATGTGCGAAGGCTGTCTGTCAGGCTGTTGATGGAACCTTGCAGGTTCATGAAGATGGCAGTGCTGGCAGCGTCTTTGGCAGCCTTAGAGCCTTTGTGACTGCGGCTGGCTTGACTTTTACCTTGTGTCGACAACTTTGGCTTTTTGTCGACATTGGAGGTGTGGGATGAATCAACCAGTGACGTAGTTTGGGCGGTGCTGGGGGACAAAATCATGTCGGAATGCGAGCGTTTGCCCATACTGGAGGGCGCAATAGAAGAGGGGGGAGGGGGAATGTTCATGGAACTTCCAGCGACTCCAGGAGTGATGGATGGGAGGGCTGACTTGATCTGGTCCCATCCAGCTTGTGGCGCAGTAGTGAGTCTAGATCCGCTGGCCTCAGCATTGGGAGCCTCTGGTGCTTGCATGGATAAGGAGGATCCACCAGCTTCAGCATTGATAGGAAGAGCCACTGATGCTCCCGCAGCCAAGGAAGCTGGATTGTAGGCGGATGCCCCCTGAGCGCCACTCCCGTTTGGGAGAATCTCCGACATCTTTTGCCAGTGTCTCCATCCGTTGTTTTTGAAAGGTTTCAACACCTGTGAATAGGGAGTGAGTAGTAGACAAGTAATAAATACAAACATACCTTGTTGGAATTATTAGCGGTAATAAATTGGTTCCACTGGAGTTCCACTGCTTCCCCCTGAATATTGGCGCCGTTAACATTGTCCCAATGACATCCAGATCAGTTGTTGCGATATCTCTCGATGGCATTGTAGATTTGTTTCAACTGTAAGGGTTATTAATGATAAGTTAGTGATGCGGCTAGGGAGTAGGATACAAAG